TATGTATCTTTTTACTTAGTCCCCTGTCTTTGGGGTTGATTAAAGTGCTTGACCCAATAATTTTAGAATTTTGTAACCGGTACCAGGTCTACTTAGCCCAAGTAGGCTCATCTATATGGAAGATGGTGGCATGCCTTCATCAATTGTGTACCGAGACCGGGGAAACCTAACTCTTGCACATATGATAAATCTTTACTCCTCCAAGATTTTCCGCAAGGGAGTATTAAACTGCAACAAACATGGTCATCACTCCCTTCTCACTAGTGTAGACGATGACAATGACTATAGATGGATGGAACGGTTCGTCATTATTTCTAGCAGGGACATTATCCCGATCACAACTCCAGCCCGAGTCGTGGAATCTCTTTTGTAAGTCTTCGGTTATTTTCTTCCTTTCTTCATAAAAAGATAATTTCCCGTTTTGCTGATTTTTTGGCTTCCTTCGTTTCAGCTACCTACTGGGAACCACCACGGGTTCACGGTCTGGACTGATGGATTTAGAAAATTCTGGATATTATAACTCCATAATCTTGTCGGTAGAAAGAAATGGCTCTCAAGTATGGGTGGAGAGCTAAAAGCTATGATGAGTAGAGTTCCTTTCTTCTCTTTTTTTTTCTTTTTATCTTAGTAGTTTAGGAGCAACTTATTTAACCATCATTTCGCTTGTGTAGGGCTCTCGAGGGGTTCTGTCACCTGCCTCGATGTCGATACACTAGATGACCCTGAGGAAGATAGGAGGGTGTTGCAAAATACTCTTGCCCAAAGCAGGACTCGTGGATCTGTCTAAGCCTCCGGTGAAGGTACCTCCTCTCAGAGTCCCAGTCCTAGTCCAAGAATAAAAAATCAAAGAGGAGACGTTCCTCCTTGGTTGGGATTCAAGAGAAGAGGGTAAAGAAAATGCTAACTGAGCCGGCCACAGTGGTCCTCGTTGACGAAGGGGAAGCCAGTGATGAAGAAGCTCCCCTTTAAAAGAAAAAACGATCTTCATCAACTCAAACGGATGCTCAGACGAGGGATCTTCAAAACCCACTATCAGAGGATATTCAGGTGCTCTAGGGTGAGATGGACCTAGTTGAGAATGTTGATCTTGCTTTCCGACCCTTGTTGTTCTCATGTACCAGGAGTTCGGACCCCGAGCTTGAATGTGGGAAGAGCTTATTTGGATGTCATGCTCCCAAATGCAATTATGTATCATCTTTAGACTTTAGAATTGTGGCTAATGTTTTCCTGCTATTGATGGGTCACATTATATCCTAAGGCCACGTGAAGGTGACTTTCATGTTTCATGTTAGGTGATTTATAAGCTCCTTCTATCACGACTTTCTACATATTTCTTATAATAGTAATGGTTGGGCGGACTTGCGGTGTCTAGATTAATTTTATACAGCAGCACGTCAGAATTTTTAATAAAAGGTGTCAAAATATAAATAAGTAAATCGATAAAAAATTCAAGGGGTGTCAATATGTAATCATAAAGAAAAAAAATTATCTAACTACATAGCGTACTTATTATATATCTCCCACCAGTACAGATATCGAGTAATTATTTAACAAGATTTGATAAATGGGAAAAAATCTTAATATTTTTTTCCAGATTAACATGAAACTTTATGGTTCTTAACTCACATCATTAATCACCAAGCCATACCCTTGAATGCATACTGTTTGACCCAAAATTTAGATCTGGGTTCAATAAGTTAGATTTAATAAAACATGTCAATCTTAGCCATTATTAATATCCAAAAGATACATTAACTGATTTTGTAGTAAGGTACTATGTGTGTTTGATCGAATGGAAATAAGTGTGAGCAATACTAACAATATTCAATGATTCATAAGGAAGAGGATAGCATTAAATAATAATAAATAGCAATGAATAACATTTAAGTAAATAAGAACATGTGAGTCACCCGAAAAGGGGTGAGATCTATGTATATTTCTTCTGACAATGATGAATAGCCTTCGAACATTCAAGTTATTCTTCGATCAAGTGGAAAAATTAGACAAGAATCTTGGTAAGAAGGTATTGTTTGTGTCTTTCCAATAAAGCCCGACTCTCGATATAAAGTTAATGCATTTTCTTACCAGTGAATATCTTATGTCCCCTATCCTTCTCTCTCTTTATATTTATAGGGAACATATACCTAAAAACTCTAATAGTATAGGTGCAGAAAATATCCACTAGATTTTCTATTTTGTGTCTTATCCTAAAACTAGCCGTTATAACTCTATCTAAGATGCTCGACCTCGACCTTGATCTACAATGACTTCTCGACCTTGGTCTTCACATACTCGTTGACCCCACTCTTCATCTCTTTAAGGGACCACTTTGACCTCGGGGAGGCCTTTGTTGAAGTCGTATTGATAACATGTGGCAGCCTATGAAGGTTCTCTTAATGTTGACGCGGCTTACTTGTATCAAAGATAATTTTTGGCCCATACCCCGCCCTACTGTGATGGGGCCCATGATGTCCATTCAACACTTGTTGAACGGCCATGGAGAGGTGATTGAGTGGAGATGTTTGCTTGCTTGGTGAATTATTGAGGCATATTTCTGACATTGTTCGCATTTTTTCACAAATTCTGAGGCATCTTTTTTCATGGTGGCTAGTAGTATCCTGCTCATATGAGGCACATAACAAGTGCTCAATAGCTAGAGTGAGCACTGCAGTGGCCTTCATGAACCTCTTCTAGAATGCGTTGGGTTTGTCTTGGACCCAAACACTTTGTCAGGGCCATTGTATGTTCTCTTGTATTAATCGTTATGAAGGAGGCTATATCTGGCTGCTTGCATTCTTAGTTTTTAGCTTCCTTTTTGTCGTTCGGGAGTGTGTTGTCCTGTAAGTAGGTGATAATACAATTACGCCAATCCCAAGTTAAACTTATAGATCTTACCTCGATTTGGTCTAACGACAAGTTGATTAGGTGGACAATACTTTTATTCTCGGCTGTGATACTTTTGGTGGTTGCATCCAGTTTGGCAAGGCCGTCTGCTTTGACATTCTGGGCTTGTGGGATCTGGTCGAGCTGGCATTCATCGAAATTGGGCAGTAGCTTACAGATCTCGGTTTGATATTTTTACAACCTTTGTTCTTTGATTTGGAAACTCCCTATGACTTGGTTGACTACAAACTGTGAATCACAACAGAGTTTCAAATGCTTTGACCCATATTTGAGTGCTAGTCTCAATCCTGCAATTACGGCCTCATACTCAGCCTTGTTGTTAGTCATATATTGGTATCTTATGGACTGGCGGATTACTTTGACGGTAGGTACCTCGAGTACGAGTCCTAGTCTAGATCCATAAGCATTGGATGTTCCATTGGTGTATAGGAACCAGAGGTCTTGTGTTTGAAGAGAAGCTTGGACAGCTTCCTTCTTGACCTCAGGAATTATCATTGCGCTTAAGTCTGCGATGAAGTCAGCGAGCATTTGCGACTTTATCGCATTCGAGGCTAATATGTGAATCGTGCTCGCTTAGCTAGATGACCCACTTGACCAGCCTCCCCGACAATTCAGGTCTATGTAAAATGCTTCTTAAAGGAAAGGTGGTAACGATAGAGATAAGGTGGCACTAGAAATAGGGTCTAAGCTTTGTGAAGCTACGACTAGTGCTAGAACCAATTTCTCGAGGTGTGGGTACCTCGCCTTAGTATAAATGGGAGATTGTGTACCTTTACTTTCTTGGATAAGGACTACACTTACTGCCACTTCAGAGACATCGAGATAGATGAGGAGGTGTTCCCTAGGTTCGGTCTTCGAGAGCAGAGGTGGTGACGGTAGGTATGCCTTTAGTTCTCGTAGAGCTTGCACACAGTGGAGTGTCCACTCGAGGCCTTTATCCTTTTTGAGCATGCCAAAAAATCTGTGACATCTATCGGATGATCACGAGATAAATCTTGATAGGGCGGCGATTCATCCAGTCAACCTTTGGACTTGCTTCTTAGTAGTCAGTTGCTCCGGTATCCCTTCGATAACTTTGATTTGGTCTGGGTTGACTTTGATTTCTCCATGGTCTTGCCAAGTTGGTCTTTGGACATTCTTGTGACCAATCTTTGATAGGCGGCTCCTTCATTCTTCAACCCGAGTGGTATGACCTTATAAAAATATGTTCCTCGGTGGGTAATGAATGTGGTTTTCTCTTGGTCCTCTCTTTCCATACGTATCTGGTTATAACTCGAGTGTGCATCCAGGAAACTCAGCAGCTCGTGCCCGGCTATTGCGTCGATGAGTTGGTCAATATGTGGCAATGGGAATGAATCCTTCGGGCATGCGTTGTTTAAGTTTGTGAAATCTACACACATCCTCCATTTCCCATTTTTCTTTTTGACCATCACTATGTTGGCTATCCACTTAGGGTATTTTGACTCCCTAAGGGAGCCATTTTCTAATAGTTTCTCTACCTCCTCTTAGACAGAATCATTAATGGCAGGGTTGAACTTTCGTCTGACCTGCCTTACCGGGGGATAGAATGGGTCGACGTTCAGTTTGTGTGCGGCGATCTCCTTGGGGATGCTCGTCATATCTGCATGGCTAGTTCTCAAAGTTTGCAGTCGTTGGGATCTAATTGAATGGGGTCGAGGTCCTCTACAGTTGAGTCTGCGGTTTGACCGTTTCAGGGTCCATGATGATGTCCCTGGTCTCTTCTCGTCGACCTCGATCATTTTGATTACTATGCCTCTTTTTCGTTATCTTTATTCTGTTGGGTTGTCTTTCTATATAAGGCGATGCGATAGCATTCCTCGGATGTGCGATGTTCCCCCTGTATACTAAATACTTCCCAAGGTGTTGGGAACTTGATCACTTGGTATAGGTTGGAGGGGACGACTCTCATGTGATGTATCCATGGTCGTCCTACTATGGGTTGTATGTGATGGCCTGGTCCATGATGTGGAACGTTGTCTCCAGAGTTATGCCGTCGGACAAGATGGGAAGGGTAATTTCACCCGATATCCGTTCAACTGCATTATTAAAACCGGTTAGTGTGATGCAATGCGGCACTACCTTGTCCTCGGTCTCATCTGGGAGTGGACTCGAGGATGGATAATGCATGCTCCACTCCCATCATCTACCATGATACATTTGACATTGGTATCTAAAATTCGTAAAGTAATGACAAGAGCGTCATTGTGAGGTAAAGTCAAACCGCCAGCATCTGACTCGTCGAAGACGATATTTTCTTCGAGTCCGTCATACCATTCATGGGTGATAGATCTTTTGAACTTGTGAGTGGCAGTTAACTTAACGTCGTTGATGGAGGCATCATCGCTGCCACCGATAATCATGTTGATGGTACGAGCCGGTGACGGCGGCTTCGACGTGCCTTGGCATTCATGACCTCTAGTGAAGTTGTTCCTCCCCTTGTTGCTCAACAACTCTTTGAGGTGTTTTTGCTGCAACATATTCACAACCTCTTTCCTTAGGGTGATGCAATCATTTGTCTTATGTCTGCGTTCCTGATGGAATTTGCAGAGGGCATCAAATTTTCTAATGCTCGGGTCGGACTTCATCTTTGGCGGCCACTTCATCTTCATTCTGAGTTTCTCCAGGGCATAGACTATTTTATAGGTATTACAGAAATATTGTGAGCAGACAACAAGAGGGAATACCTCTCTCGTTCCGATGAGTCCCCATCCTTAGCCTAGATGGTCCATCATCATATAGGAAAGAATGAGGGATGGGAGCCCTGATGTATGGATGATATCGTTCCCTATTTGGCCATGAGACTGGGTGATCCCTCTTTATGTTTTCTCTTCATTCTTTCCTAGGCTCGGCTTGTATCGAGATGAGCTGCCGAGTCAGTTCGTTGAGGTCGTCATCATCTGCTTAGACTTCGGCATAATAAGCATTATGGATTTCATCCCAAGTGGTTGGATGGTACTTCATCAAACGGTTCGGCAATTTTCTGGTCGCTCTTGAACACTCTCTACTCAATCCGTTCTAAAAGGCTACGACTGCCATCCCTTCGGACACATTTAGTAGGGTCATCCTTACCCTGTTGAATTGGGCGAGGAAGTCCCTCAATCCCTCTCCTAGGGACTGCATGATGGTGAAAATGTCGTTTACTCTTGTTTTGGCTTTCTTGGCTCCGGCATGTGCCGTCATGAACTTATCGGCCATTTCTTCGAAGGTTTCTATGGAGCGGGCTGGTAGCTATGAATACAATGTTAATGCCCCTCCCGTGAGGATTTTGCAAAATTTATTCAGTAAAATAGAGGACACTTGCTCCTTGGTAAGGTCATTGTCCTTCACGGCGGTGACGTAATGAGTTATGTGATCTTCAGGGTCGGTTGTTCCGTCATATATCTTGAGATATAACGGCATTTTAAAGGTCTTTGGTATGGTATGCAGGGCTGCTTCCTCGCAATACGACTGCTCTATGAACCTACTGGCATCCCTCTTTGGTAGTAGTTTAGGGTCTCCCTATATCTTGTCGACTCATTCTTGGTGTTCCTTTATTTGATCTCTGAGCATTTTGTTCTCATTCTCCATTTCTTTAATCCTCTTCAGAACAGCTGCGAGGATGCTGTCACTTGCATTGTTAATAACATTGTGAGTTATACCTAGCATTACAGGGTCTGGTTGGTCGCCCTGTTGGCTGCTCGTTGCACGGTATGCGCTCTTGCGGTCTCTATGGTCGTGCACAGAGATTGCTTGTTGATCACACTTACTAATGTGACGGTCAACCACGCTTCGAGGAGTTTTTTCATGGCTGGTGGCATTCCTTCTCCTGTTTATGTGGATGCCCCTTTTCCATTTGGTTTGGTTGTGCTAAAATAGGGGGAGGCGACCTCTCGCGCCTGGGAGAGGCATTAGGTGTCACATCATCGCCCAGCATTTCATAGCTCTCATTGATAACGTTCATGAGGTTACCGGGGATGTCATCTATTACTTTAGTCCTCTCTCCTTGGTTACCTGCTATATAAATTTCCGTACGTGCTGAGAGAGATAAAAACCTTGTGGTTTGTTAGGTTAGCAACTCACGTGAGTTGTAGATCTAAAGGAAACTAAAAGATTACCTAAGAAATCTCCACAGACGACGCCAAACTGTTTGACCTAAAATTTAGATTTGGGTTTAACCAATTGGATTAAATAAAACAAAGTCAATATTAGTATCCAAAAGATACGTTAACTAATTTTGTAGTAAGGTACTATATGTGTTTGATCGAATGGAAATAAGTGTGAACAATACTAACAATATTCAATGATTCATAAGGAGGAGGATAGCATTAAATAATAATAAATAGCAATGAATAACATTTAAGTAAATAAGAACATGTGAGTCACCCGAAAAGGGATGAGATCTGTGTATATTTCTTCTGACAATGATGAATAGCCTTCGAACATTCAAGTTATTCTTGGATCAAGTGGAAAAGTTAGACAAGAATCTTGGTAAGAAGGTATTGTTTGTGTCTTTGCAATAAAGCCCGACTCTCTATATAAATCAATGTGTTGTTTTTAACAAGTGAATATCTTATGTCCCATATCCTTCTCCATCTCTTTCTATTTATAGGGAACATATATCTAAAAACCCTAATAGCATAGGTGCAGAGAAATATCCAATAGAATATTCTCTTTTATGTTTTATCCTAAAACTAGCCGTTATAACTCTCTATAAGATGCTTGACCTCGACCTTGATCTATAATGACTTCTTGACCTTGCTCTTCACTGACTGGTCGACCCACCCTTCATCTCTTTAAGGGATCACTTCGGCCTCGGGTAGGCAATTATTGAAGTCATACTGCACGTGGCACCTTATGAAGGCTCTTTTAATGCTGACGCGACTTGCTTGTATCAAAGATAATTTTTGGCCCATACAGATACAACATTATTTCATTTCCATCGTCAGAATATGATTAGTTAACTCTATATAATTAGTTAACTCTATCATTTCCTGTCCACAGGGTCGGGTTCTTTTAGGAATAAACTTGTGAAGATCCTAATTAGTATATATAATTTATCATCAAATATATCTATTTGTAAATTGATTCATTGACTTATAACTTACTTAGGTGCATCGTTGAATATTAAAAATAAAACGTTTGACCTATATTTATTAATAGTAAAAATAAAACGTCTCGACCTATATCGATTAATGNATATATATACACACACACACACACACACATGGATCACAAATTAAAGAAACGAAAGAAGTTATTAGTATTAAGTAAATGAGTTAAATTAAAAGGTCAAACATGGTCAAACTTTTAGTTTGAATCACATTAATATTGACTATCTAAATAGTATAAATATAATTCGTTAACTCTTTTGTAATACAAATAATGAATACACTAAATTATACTATAACATGTTATACATGTAGTTAAAGTATCACAAAGAAGTGTGTGTGTTATATATACACACACACTAACATGTACTATAACAATCTATATATATAGTTAAAGCATTACATGAAGTGTCTGTGTGTGCGCGTGTATATATATATATATAGCCGTATATATATAAGAACACGAAGCGCTAGGAACACATGGTCGTGTTCTTTTAGGGATAGATCACTTGTGAAGATCCTATTTAGTATATATAATTTATCATCAAATATATCTATTTGTAAATTGATTCATAGACTTATAACTTATTTAGATGCATCGATGAATATTAAAAACAAAACGTTTTGACCTATATCGATTAATACAAAAAACAAAATGTCTCGACCTAAAATAGAATAATATTATATTGGTTTATCAATTGATAAATTATTCGTACGTAGTAATGTATAAGGTTGATCATCAATTACAATATAGTGTGTGTGTGTGTGTGTGTGAAATTACTCATATACTTAAATATAACTTAGAAAATTTACTTAGATAGATGCTATTATAATCTATTAAAAGTAATTACCTAGTTAATATAATTTTTTGTAAAGATTATGCTTATAGTTTATAATTATTTATAATAATTGTATAGTTAAATAAAATAAATGTTTATAGTTAATAATTTTTTTATAATTTATAATATTTTTTATAGCTTATAATATTTAAGAAATAAAAACAAAAAAACTAATTTATTTTTTTTTTTTAAAAAAAATAACCGACCAAAGTTGGTCGGTATTTGGTCAATCAGACAACACTTAATATACTGACCAAATTACCGACCAACTTTGGTCGGTAAGTCTGAAATTAGACCTCAAAATATACGGAATTCCCCCATATTTTCATACCTCTCTTCTCAAAATTCCCTTAACTCCCACTTAATACCTTCTCCTATCCTTCTTTATTTCTCCCACACTGTCACGACCCGAATTTCCCACCGTCGGGACCATGATGGTGCCTAACATTGTACTCTCTAGGCAAGCCAAAGTTAAAAAATATTTCACCTTTTTTGTTTTGTCTTTTAACAATTAAGACATAACAAAAGTGAATCAGTGAAAAATAAATGCGGAAGAACACAACTTAAAAGATTATCTTTATGCCAATAACAAAAACCGTAATGAAAATCCACCCAGAACTGGTGTCACAACTCACGAACGATCTACGAATACTACAGATAATGGTCTGAACAAAGAAAAATACATCTGTCTTGAAAGAAGATAAAATAGAAATGAAATAGGATAGGAGGGGATGTTAGGGCCTGCGGACGCCTGCAGGACTACCTTGGGTTTCCGATGGACTGAAGGCAGCCACCCAAACTCTACTCACAAGGTCCATCACCGAAATCTGCATAGAAAGTGCAGAGTGCAATATCAGTACAACCGACCCCATATACTGGTAAGTGCCGAGCCTAACCTCGGCGAAGTAGTGACGATGCTAGGACACGACAACCAACATAAACCTGTGCAGTTAAACAATATACTAACAGAATAACAATAATAGAAGCTAAATAGAAATTAACGGGAAGGGGCAACATGCTATGGGGGTACCAAAATAAGGAATCACAGTAGTAACGGAAATTAAACAATTAATGCACTTGAACCAATAATAGTAAATAATCACAGCAAACGGAAAATGCACGGCATCACCCTTCGTACTTATCCTCTCAATCCTTACTATGTAATCAATAATAGAAATGTGCACGGCATCACCCTTCATGCTTTATCACTCTTCCTCACCATATGAATAATAGAAATGTGCACGGCATCACCCTTCGTGCTTTATCTCTCTTCCTCACTATATGTATCAATATAAATGTAAATGTGCATGGAATCACCCTTCGTGCTTTATCACTCTTCCTCACCATATGCATAAGTATGAATGTGCACGGCATCACGCTTCTTGCTTTATCACTCTTCCTCACCATAACAACAACAGAAACAACAACAACCCGGCAAAGGCATCACAATCAAACAACTCTATTTCATCATTTAATTTCACAATAGAAATCTCAACTTGAGTTAATACATACCCAATATCCAAATCAGGAACAGCATAATAAAACTTGTTAACATGATCAATAACTAGCTTAAGCAGGAAATATACGTATAAAGAAACACATCTGTCACAAGTATAGAACCCACTCACATGCTACGACCCAACAACGATGTATAAATACTCATCACCACACATATAC